AATGGTCAAATCTCAAATGGTTAGTTTATGTAAAACTTTGCATGGATAACGTTTTTATTTAAATTTCATTTTCATTGGCTGTACAATTAATTAAATGCTCGATGGCCAAGGCTGACTGGGTTAAATTTCATTTTGAGTACACTATGTTCATCATTTTCTGAAAATGGTCTATCATATAAGACGTCTTCAAGAATTGTTCACTAATAGTTATCATTATAATCAAAACGCGTACAAAAGCCAACATAGTGTACGAAATATGACAATTAAAAATGATCACTTTTAGTACATTATGTTGGTGATTGTGCCGATCACTTTTAGCCTATGGACTTTTTTTTGAAAAATAACCAACATAGAGGACCATTTTTGAAATTTTTAAAAATCCTTTCATATCTATTGAATATTTTCTTTTAGCCGATTTTTTCAATAATTTTTATGCATATGGCGTGTGCTATAATTAATTATCAAAATACATATGAAGATCAATTAGTAGAATAACATATCAATATATTTAGAATAAGTTACAAAACAATATACTAATTCCAATCAATAAAACTTTGAATAATTATATAAGTCTACACCAACAATTGCAACATCCCACAACAACTATACGATATATCTTCCAATAAACTAACCAAAGTTTTGATTTAATAACCCCAATTTAACCTCTAGCAAACCAAACACTTACGAAATTTACGAAAATAATTAACTTAGCTAGGTCGAATTATAATCGCATCGTGTTCGAATTATGATCATTCGATTTAGATTTGGCGGGACTTGTGTGCCGTGACAATGGCGAGCACGAAATAGAAAAATAGCCCGAAATAGGACAGTATAGTAGCTGCCATGACCCAGTCGCAAAATTTGTCGAAATAGCCACAAATTGCCATCCAACCCGAGTGACTGTTTCCGTATTTCCCTATGTAACCCACAGCTGTTGCAGCTGCACATCCCGCCATCAATAGTATCGTCATCACCTGTCGATTTTTTATTTTTATTTTTATTTTTTTAACATTTGACATGTTTTGAGAAATACATAAAAATATTATATTAATCATAAAATGTGCATAATACATTATGAAATAAAGAAAAAATACCATATCATGCAAGAACATGTAGAAGTAGTAAGTTGAATCAACTGTCTTCCTCCCCAGGATGAAGGCAGTGAACAGTGATGGAACCGTAAACACACAAACTACAAGATTTGCAAACGCAAAGAACCTAAAAAAAGAAAAAAAAAACATATCTATTTAATTTATTTAAATTACAATAGTTTTATTTTGGACGGAGCATTTAATAGTAGGCTTACTTGAAAGCCGGAGAATAGCTATAACGGGCGTCGAATTGGATGCCGAAAACAAGAGCGGTTTGTTTAGTCGATAGCATAATCGAGGTGGCGGCAAGAGTTGCAGCCAAGGCCAAAAGCCTGAGAGAGATTTGTGTTGCAAAGAAGAGTTTGTGAGGTGAGATTATGTGTTGGGTTTTGCCATTTGTGCTGGCCATTATAGCTCAAGATCAGCGAATTTAAGGACTTATTTATCTTGCTATACTAACTACTTTACAAGGAGCCTTATTAAATGCAAAGGGAAGAAAGGCTTTATTACTAATTAAGGTGTGAATAATGGTAGGTAGCTTATGGTATTTATATAGGCAGCTGAGAGGGAGAGAAGGAGAGTTGAAGATGTTCAAGGAATAGGTGTTGGATCACTTCAAGTCACTGAGGTAGGTTCAGAATTGAATACCTTTCATGTACCAAAAAAAAAAGAATTGAATACCTTTCATTAATTGGTGGAGTAAAGATTTATAATAAGGGGAAATGCTTAGGTCTTGTTACGGAACCATTCTGTCGGGGTTTGTAACCATTAGATCATCATGTAACCGCTAGAGATAGTGTTAAGACCAACAACTCAAAACTCAGTTCTCCATCAAGCCCAACATACAAGCCTAAATGGAGTTTCATTCTAAAACCAATTGACAATAGAGGTATAGCCCACTAAGCTTATATATTGAACTTGAAAACCGTTAGTTTTCTGATGTGGGATTGAGTTTGCACACCCTACAAACCCCCCTCAAACACAAGACCACATTGGCTTCTCCTTGAACGAAATTCATACGGTTCGACCATCTTGTACCGCCGTTATCACCCACGGAACCCGCCGTCTGACCACACTCTTTCGTCAGGAAGACTTTCGACACAAGGCACACGGATCCACCGACCCTTCTTGCTCCAAGGGAACATGTCACGTCATCCACATCGCAACTGTGCTACCAACCGTGGCTCTGATACCAATTGTTAGGACCAACAACTCAAAACCCAGTTGTCTATCAAGCCCACCATACAAGCCTAACTGGGGTTCCATTATAAAACCAATTGACAATAGAGAGAGTAGCCCACTAAGCTTATATATTGAACTTGAAACCATAAATTTTCTGATGTGGGATTGAGTTTGCACACCCTACAAATAGTTGATCTAACGTTTACAAACTTCGACGGAATAGTTCCATTACGGGACTATTGCGTCTTTCTATAATATGACATATGCATCTTATTTATTAATTTACGATTTTTTTATTCTTTTGTGTTTGATAAATGGGCTAGTACAAGTCATCTAAAAAAGTAGCTCAAAGGGAGAGTGTTTTTTTTTTTTTT